TTGAAATTTGCACGAAAATTTAACGAGCTACAAAACTGCATACCCAAAATTTTACTAAAAATTCAAAATAAAAAGTTTAAAATTTTTTGTTTGGCTTTGTAAAATTTATTTTATAGATAAGTCAGCACCGATGAGATAGATTACAATATCGCTAATTGTAAACATAGAATTAAATCAAAAACAATAATCAATAGCGCATTATTACAATCAAAATACGCACAAATATATAGTAGATGTATGTATGTATGTATGTATGTATGTACATACAGAAGCATGTTTTAAATACATATGTATGCTGTCATTTTGAATTTAACTTTTTACATGACTGTAATGGGTGGCGATATTGTGGATGTTGTTGTTATTGTTGGTGCTAAGAAAGCAAATGGCTGCCGCCTATGCGACGCCCCACGAAAAAGAAGCAGCTCATTTAAAGATACATACATATGTATGTATGTATGTATGTCTGTATGCATGCATAATACTTAATGTGAAAAATAATAAAATGAAACGCCGCACAACTGAAATAACAACAACCAATTGTACATACATACATACATATGTACAGCAGGAGTAAAGCAAATACATACATGACTGTACGCAAGTATGTATGTATTTATGTATGTATGCGCGTACTTGTTGTTATCAAGAAATATGGTGAATACTTGTCGACAATAAACGCACACTTGCATACATACATACGTATATTTGTAGGAATGTAAACGTGTAACTACACATGGATGTACAATAAAAATATCTTTGCAACTAAAATCGCACGCTCGTTCACTGACTGATGAGGCGTAGTGGCAGAATTAAATCAAAACATCCAACCTCAACATCAACAACACCAACAAAAATAAATATCTACATGTGCACTTACTTACTACATATATGTATGTATGTATATCAGCATAATAACAACAACAAGTGCTTACCGCAACGCGACAAAAAGCGATTGCTTACTGGTGGCGAACAGCAACTATTTAGGCGGCTAACAGCGATATACATATGTATGTATAAGCAATTGTATACACATTAACATAAAAACAACATATGTACATACATACATACATATATAAATAGTCGATCGTCTAGGCAGGCAAGCAGGCAAGTAGCCAATCAGCACGGGCCAATAAATATATGTACATATCACTACTACTACAGCCCCACTAACAGCTACATTTTGTATGTATGTATAGGATATCTTCGTCCATATATTTATATGTATGTATGTATGTACATTTGTGCTACCTCCCACCTGCACCTGATCGCGACACCTAACTACATAAGTAGACAGTCAAGCAAAGTGCTATGGATTTCAAACGGAAGCTCAAGCCTGAAGCGCCTGAGATTGCGACTTTGATTTGCTTGTAAGTATTTTGTAAGTATGTAGTAGTACGTATACTGATGTGCGCACATCTAAACATACTATGGTATCAGTGTACATATGTATGTATAATACAAATTCAAATGGCGTTGTTTAATTTCCTTGTAAAACATATTGCGAGAGACTTTTACGATTGAGGCAAGTGATCTCGTGGGGCGTGAACAACGCGACTTGTATTTCCACATTTCTTTTTTATACCCGAGCCCACTTGTGCAAACGGGTATATATGTATATTAACTTTATATAGATATACATATACATATACCAAATGTCGAGAAATCGATTAAGCCAAGTCTGACTGTCCGTCTGCGCACACGAAAACTCGAGCAAAAATTGAAATACCTATGTCAACGAAATTTGGTTCGCATATTTTTCTAGGACTAAGGACAGACAGTGCTGATTGAAATCGGTAGTGTGCAGAATTTACAATAACAACTAAGCAAAATAGGAAATTATTAAAAAATTTTGGTTAAAGGGTGTGGTACCGCCCACTTATGACTACATATCTGTGTCTCGGTAGCCGAGTTATTAATTTCTACCAAACTCATTGCAATTATTGCGCTTGGTATAGAAAACTTAAAATGAGTACATACTTCACATATAACGGAAAATTTCAGAATTTTGTCGTAAAAATTCGAAATTCTACAAAAAAAATGCACTCTTAAAATATGGGGTTTTTCGATTTACAAAGCAGTCAACAATTTTATTATACATACCTAAGAAGAAGAGGCAGAGGATATTTTAATGAAGTTGTGAAAGGAACAAATTTTTCATCGAAGTACCTGAAATATCGATTTTTTCCAATAATATTTATTTAGAAAATCCAGAAAATTGTCAAAATTTTTGTAAAATATTTTCTTCAAGTTTCGATTTTTCCCAGGTTTTAGGAATGTATGTGGTCCGCCCAAATCGAATTCAGCGCCAGACTGTTAACGCTTCAATTCCCAGTGTTACCTGGAGACTATCATATATTTTTTTTTATCAGACGGCGATTTTTTTTGTGACCCAAAAAATCACCGAAGCACGTAAACTTAAATTTGGGTCGTAGTTTACGGCCCTGTATACCGTTTTTCTAGATCAGGTCATTCTCGTAAGATGTCCTAAATTAAAATTTGCATTTTGAATGAAAAAAAAAAAATGCAAAGTTTAACAGCGACAAAATTTGGAAATAAAATGTTTTTGTAAATTCTTATGATTTGTGTTAAAGCCTGTTATTTTACAAAAACATTAAGCTATCAACGCAGAAAATTGATTGATAAATAATATTTTAAATGGTCAAATGAAAATGCATAATATTTTTTTTTTATGAAATTTGATTAGGAAAGAATGTTACTCATACGCCATGCATAAATTATTAATAAAATCATAAATTTCGCTTGATTATTATAACGGTCAAAATATGCTGTGCCATAAGTGGGTTACACCGGGGACTACATATTGTTTAATATTCGTGGTATTGCTTTGTGGTGCTGAGATTTTAGAGCCTGTATACGTCTTGCAAATAGACTTAAGATGAAACTATCGAACAGATGAACGCCGAAGAAGACCCCAACGATATTATTATATTTCCTCCGGATGGAGATGAAAACGAAGCTGACATTCTGCATCTTTCTAGTCGCATGCTTCGGTCTCCAGTATAATTACTGAAGAAAACTACTACGAGGAAGAAGAAATCGACGTTCCGGCACAGAAATTACCATAAAAAACTGTCACAACAACATTTTACTTCGTGCGGTAGAGGATACTGGAACGAAGAAGTTTCTACAAACCTACAAGAAGACCATTGCAAGTTTCGAACTGCTGGTGAAATTATAAAAAGTCTAGAGGTGAAATTATTGCCGTTAAGTGGCATGTCACAAAAGTCGATGGAATTGGATTCATAAATAAAAAATGGTCGAACTTTCAAGTGAATTGCCTAAGGATATGGGTGGATTTGACCGTTTTGACGAAAATATTGGGTCGTAGGTCTTCGTGGCAAGAAGTGGTGGTTCCCTTTGGATTATAAAAAGGAAAACAGTTAATAACTTGAACTGCTGTAGTTTTCGAAGAAACATCGCTACAATTTACTAAAAAAAAATATGGTAATCCTCAAACGCGTAATTCCTCTTGTCGAGTTCTTGTGCATGAAAAGTGTGAGCTATGGAGCTATGTAAGTGCAATATCGGTTTCCAAGTAAAGTGTTGGTATATTTTCCATAATAAATAAGTATTTAATTTACTACATAGCTATGTATGTATGCAATTTAATTTTTCTCTTTTTTATAAATATGTAAATGTTTTTGCAAAAGAAAAAAAAAATGCACGAATAGTTTACACAAAGCCCAGTGTCACCTGTAGGTACACTTTTATATATATATATTAGGTATATTTTTTGCGCATATCATGGGTACTTATTCTATTTAGTAAGAGAAAGGGATTGAGTTAATAATTAATTTTAAGAAAACCAGTGAGTATTAATTTCGACCGTTTCTTTAACTGAAAATTCTCTGAAACACATATAAAAAACATTCCTTGCATGAATTTCAATTTCCTGTTTTACCACTCACAAGTGTTCGTACTAGGGATGTTTCGAATGTCATATTTTGTAGTCTAAAGTTCAAAAGGGGCGTATATAAGGCCGGCTGCACTAAACAGTTAGTAGTAGTTTGCCAACAATAGAGAGGATTTTCACCGAGATTAGCTCGTTTTCTTTAAGATAGGCCTTCAATTGAGCTTCAATTTCACATGTCTTAATGTCTCCAGATTCCACATCCGAGCCTTCGCTTTCGGTAGAGGAATCTAAAATGATTTCTAGATTGCTAATAAGACTTTTTTGCAAAACATTCGTATCATTTGATGCGAATGCGAATTCCGAATGCGAATGTGTGAAATGTAAATATTCGCAACATCACTGGTTCGTAAATACGTCACCCTGTTGACGTATTGACGCATCAGCTCAACTGCTATGAATGAATTTAATCTAAATATTTAGTAAATGAATTTAAATTCAAATTACATATTCGTTTGTTATTCTTGCACTTAGCGGCAGCTTAAGATGTTTTGTGCTGTTCTTCAGTTTTAGTAATTTTATTACATTTTTATGCTTATTTTATGCTCGAAAAGGTGACGAAAAGTTCAACACAAAGCATGATTTTTTCGAATGCGTCTCTCAGCCGTAAATCGCCTGAACAAAAAATTACAAAAAAAATGTAAAATACAAAACGGAAACATAAAAATTTGAGCTTAACTCAATTAGACTTTTACATACATACATACATATTTGGGCGGAATTTTATTTGACTTTTATGTTTGATTTCATCAAAGTTGGTCAAGTGCAATTTGTTTAAATATGGTTGTTGCCTTTGGTAAAAGATTGTGCGGTTATTTACCCTTATATACATACATTCATATATGTATGCCACTAATACATCTACAGGAGCTTGCTGATAAATTGAGGCTGAGTTTACGCTTTTCTTTCTACAACTTATTTATTATCAAAGTTGTGAAAAGTAGGGTTCGTGATAGTTTTTTTTTTCTCCTCATTGGCGATTCTTAAAAGTAATTTCCACATTTTTTTGCATTTCAAATACGCAACGTTAAACAAAGAAATTGGGAAACATTTTTGCTTTCAAACTTACCAGTCTCGTTGCGGCCCAGGGCCACCGGCGACGTGCGGATGCCATTTCTGGCCGATGCTGAGGCAGCAGCTGTGTGTGCAATTGCATTTGATGTTTGTGCATTTATCGATGGCAGAAAGAGCGATAGGAACGATAGGACAATCAGTAGCATATACAAGAATGATAGATTTGGCATTTTGAAGTAGCGCAAATGTTGCAATTGCAATCGAAGTGATGCGCAATTGCTTGCTTTGAGGTGATGTTGCACTAGTATATCCTTTTGTTGTTGTTGTTGTTGTTGGGTTCGTTGTTGCTGCTGCGCAAGCAAACTGTTGTGCTGATGTGATGCTGACATTGACGTTAATGGCATTAAATTGTAGTGATGTGCTTGTTGTAATATCTGTTGTGGCTGTTGTTGTTGTTGTTGTTGTTTTTGTTGTTGTTGTACTATGCGGTGGTGCATGTGATGTTGCAATTGCGAGCATTCATTCTTACTAAACTTACTATTGCTAGAGCTATGGTTGTTGGCGTTGATGTATTGTTGTTGTTGTTGTTGTTTTTGTTTGTGTGATGCATTAAATATATTTGTGGCATTATTGTTACTATTATTAATTGTAATATTATCATTATTGTAGTAGGAATTACAGCGAATTTGTTTCATCAGTCTTAAAAGTGGAGGACGTTGTTGTTGTGGTTGTTGCTGCTGCTGCTGCTGCTGCAGTGGCAGTGGCAGTTGTTGCTTTTGTTTCTGTTGTCTTTTATTGGATTTCGTTTTCGTATTACTATTATTACTATTTCTATTGCTATTGCTACTATTACTATTCGTCGTATGTTTGTTGTTGTTGCTGT